GGGGATAAAAGTAGAATAGTTGAATAGTTCAATGATTTATGTGGAAATATTTCCTGAAAATTGTTAGTAATTATTAAAAGAATAAAAGGGCAAAATGGTCATTTGACTTAGAAATAATAATAAAAATGATATATATGTAGGTGGAGATAAGGATGAGGAGATTTTTTCTCCACTTCATCTTCTTCTTCTTCTTCTTCTTCTTCTTAATGTACGAGAGAAAGAGAGCCAAGCTTGCAAAGGTAAGTTTTCTAATTAGTTGATTATTAGCTAAAATTTAGGTTGGGTTTTGATCATTAGATGATAACTAAGCTTAAGGAAAGCTTAAATTATCTTAAAATCAAAAAATCAAGAAGTTATGAAAGATTAAAGAAAATGGGGTTTTAAGTGAATTTTTGGAAAATAGTTGATAAGTTGAATTTGAAACTAAACTTGATTTGTCATCAACTTAATTAAGAGATATGAAGTGATAGAATTGGATTTAAAACATCTTGAAAATTTGGTATGATTATTGATTTACATATGAAAGATGGAATTTTGAGGTTAAAGATGAGATAAATGGATATAAATGAGTTTAAGCATGTGCATGTGAGTTGAGGATATGAAAGGGGTTGAAATATGACACAATTAAATTAGAAGGAAGTAATTTACGTGCATAAATGGGAATTCTGGACTAGTTTGCATCGGTACACATTCAATATGTACCGATGCATCAAGGGTAAATTTCCATAAATTATTCAGTGTGTATCGATGCACACAGGTAGGCATCGATGCATGGGAATTTCGAAGCTATTTTGTGTACCGATGCACCCATAGTGCATCGATACACCCTTAAAGGAAAAATGGAATTTTGGTTCATTAAACTAGATTAAATTATTAACATCAAGTTATAAGGTTTAGGCTTATGATAATCGTCTTGGAAATTATGTTTATGTAGATGTTGAGCCTAAACGAGTTACGGAACAATCGAAGAGTTAGGATTGAATCAAAGCAAGCAAGGCTAAGGTGAGTGCACATTATTTAGTATATGATGTTCAATGGAAAATAAGACTTGTAATAAGTCTATTTCCAATAGTAAAATGCATAAATTCATAGAAGTATGTGGTTGTTATGATATATATATGTTATTGATATGAATATGGTAAGAAAAAGGGATTAATGGTGATGATAAGAATAATAATAAGAATAATGAAATGATATGTATATGTGAATATATGAGAATACATGTCTATGTGATGAGCTATGTGATGTATATATATGAACAAATGTGAACAAGAAATGACATACGTACATAAACAAATGAGAAATGATATAAGCCATATGAAATAATCTACGTGATTACATGTAATATGTAATATATGCTTACACATACATGTGGAATGTGACATAAGAGAAAGAACAAGTGATATGAAATGTTATAAATGATAATGCCCATGTTATGTGATATGAGAGCTAGGGGTATAGTTGGCATGCCAAGGGTCGAGAGTTTACCTATGTTCTTCGGGACATATGGACTGTTTACCTATGTTCTTCGGGACATATGGGCTGTTTACCTATGTTCTTCGGGACATATGGACCGATTACCTAGGTTATTCAGAATCTATGGACTGGTCATTCGGGACATTTATACGAGCTATGGTGACAGCATAATTGCGCACAACCTCAATGTACTCACATACCTTAAGTTCTCAAAAGTATACATGGGCTAATACAAGGACTTTAAAGAGAGTAAATAAATTAATTGATATGATACTATGTGTGCTCTGTTGTGAAATGACATGGATGCCCGATGGTGAGTATAAAAAGGTACATTATATGATTACATGATAAAAAGGAATTAGTGATAATAATATGAGTACTGATAAGTATGTTAATGATATATGTATATGTTTGCATTGGTTATACAATAGGAGATATGCTTTTATATGATATGATAGTATTAATTGTTTATGCATTGATATGAGTAGAGTAATATCATATGTATTCACGCTAAGTCAGCGACTTAGCGTGTGATTGTTTCACGCGTAGGTTCCGAGAAGAGGAAGATTGATAAAAGTTATGCAAGTCAGGTCAGTTCCTCCTTTCCAAAGATCAGATCAGAAAAGAAATGTATAGTATGTATTTTGTAATAAGAAAAGTGGTAGGCATGTAAATAAGGGATTAAATCCGATATGTTCTAATCGGTTTTGAAAAGTCATATGATTGAGTTTTGTAATGTTTTAAATGCGTACATGAAATTGATAAATTTTATATGGTTGAAAGCTTAGATTTTTACGAGTTTTATGAACGTTTTACGAAAGTCACTGTATCGATGCATCGATGCACAATTTTGCTTCGAAATTTTAGTGCATCGGTGCACTGTAGCAATGCATCGATGCACTGTAGCACTGTTTATAGCAATGTTCATTATTGTTCACAGTATTGTTCATACCGTATAGTACTGTTCATAAATATGTTTTTGCCTTATATTTTTATAATGAAGCATAATTTAATAGTATATTATTATATTTTCTTAATATGAGTATAAATGTTTTGATAAATTATAAGAATATTATTTTAAAAGTCAATGGGACATCTCGGACTCGTATCCGGGTCGGGTACGAGTTGGGGTGTTACATCATAAGCATTTGAACAATGTTCAAATAATTACGTTAGCCATTGAACTTTCAAAAGTTATAAAACAAATATTAAATTTATTAAATTAATCTAAAATGATCATTAACTTTTATCGATATATATGCTAAAATTATCAATAAATTTATCCAAATATTATAATTTATTATAATATTGTAATAAACATTTATAACAGTTCGATAGAGATAATGATAATTTTATAATTTTTAGAAAATTAATAAATAATATAATAATTTGAATATAATTAAATAACCTTTAATGTATTTTATCCTTTAAAAATTCGGAGGGATTAGGACCTGCAAACCGAGACAGATTCAAAACTAGTGTCTATTACCAGCTTTAGACAAAATTGAAACGAATGGGGTCAAATTGAAAGCACGAGGTGTTGGTTAATGCGAAGCAAAAGTCTACGTTCATGGTTGTTGAGCATTGATTTTACTCTCATTGAGACGATGGCAATGGCATGCCCGAAACTGGCCTTTCATATTAAGATACCGTTTATTTTTGTTTCGAATAATTATATTTAAAATATTATTTATTTAATCTGAGACAACTATAATGTATCATTTGTTAAACCCATTAAGTGATCTTAGTTGTTAATAGGAGTGTTGTACTCTCTAGAGGTCCTGGGATTGAGTTCGAGCAATTACGTCTACAGGATGTGCACACGTTTTCATTGATTATGAACATATACTATTTTGTAATCACTTTAGACTATTAAAAAAATAATACAATATTTACTAAAAAAAAATTTAATTATTAACAACGCACTTATATTTTTTACTACTAAGGTCATTCATTAAGTTTAAATTTTATTAATAATTTTAAAAAACATAATTAATTTTATAGTATATAAGTTTCAACATATATTTTTTCATTGACTACGTCAATTATATATATATATATATATATATCAATTTGAATAATGGTGTATTATTGATTTTACTAGTCTGATTGTTATTTTTATTAATCTGAGAATATAATATAAATGAAGATATTTTAATAGATAGTAACGCGCTTAATGTTATATGCGAAATGATAATGAATCCTTAGGTAATTATGTAATCCTTTTAGCTTAATTAAGGGGATTTAAGATTTGGTCTGGTAGGACATAACGTTGATTGTTCAATCGTTGACAAAAGTGAGCCATTGTACATATATTAACATTCAGTTATATTTTATGGAAGTCAGTGCCAAAACATCGCATTTTTCTTCAATAGGTCGGCGACTACACTGTTCTTTTCATTATCTGAATGAGAACGATAATTTGTAATAATAAATAAAATATATCTTAATTTTAAATATAATAAATTAATGTATAGTTAAATTAAAATAAAAATATATCTAAATTAAGAATTATCGATACAACAAATAAAAGATGAGAGCAACATGTTTTTGAAAACAAAGTTACTTTCGCATGACGATGTATAAAATAAAAAAAATATTTTAATTATAATTTTAAAATATTTACTTACATTTTATTCTAATTAACTGATCATAATATTAATTATAAAAATAAAATTATTTTACTTAATACATAAGATAAAAACATATTTTCTATCACGTGACAATACACGCTGTCGCTAATTTTTGAAAGTTCCAGTCCAAGAAATACACGTAAAGTGGCGTCACGCGCACTGGGTGAGTATGAACTTTAAAATTGAATCACAACCAATAAATTTCCCTCGGAGTACCCTCCATGAAATGAGAAATCTAAGAATTTTTTGTTAATTTACCAGTATATATTTGTTTTTAAAATTATTTATAGACATAATATTATTTTAAAATTACTTATTTAAATAATATTTATTTATTTATTTAAAATTATTCTAAAATTATTTGAATTTAAGAGTAGACATTTATCAACTCTGACATCCTACTAGATTCATCATTTATATCATTTGAATAATATAATTAAATTATAATTTTAAATATATTTAAAAAGGTGGTATATGCACGGTAATAAAAATGCATCCCTTTCTATATGATTCCTTAATTTATAAAATAAATAATCAATGTATTTAAATTCATATTTTGAAATAAGTTAGATAAATAATTTATATTATTCTATATTTTATCTTTTATAGTAACTCTTATATTTTTGTTGTTCGATGTAACGGTGACACCGCGTCGTCAAATTGCCACGTATAGGGGCAAAGCCGGCGTATTCCAAAACGGAAAAAAAAAAAGAGAAAATGGACCCACATATATAGGGGTAAAATTGTCCAAGAAAACTTTTATCATTCACTCTTCTAAAAAATTAACTGTAACGAGAACCGCACAAACAAATTTTCATGTAAGTGAAAGCAAACACCCCACCTCCACAAGGTGTATATATATATTTCTCGAGTGCCAAAGAAGAAGAAGGCGGGAGAGAGATATAGTGAATAAAAACAGAGGAATCAGGCATGTTTCGGGAGTCGGTATGCGGGCAAGAAGAGATAGAGCAGATATCAAGAGAGAGCAGTCATTACAGTCTGTCGACAGGGATACTCCCCTCGCTTGGAGCAAGAAGCAACCGTAGAGTCAAGCTCAAGAGATTCATTGTTTCTCCTTATGATCGTCGTTACAGGTTAAATACAGCTTCTTTTTTTGTTTCCGGGCTCTAGGTTCTTTTTTTCAAGACTCATGTGTGTATAAATCGGTTCTCTTTTCAACAAGGTGGGTTATTGGGAATGGTAACACTCACGCCATTGAATCTCGTGACCCTTTATTTTTCCAAATGACAAAGTTAAAGATTGTCTTTTCTTTTTTCGTATTCTTCAATGTTTACTTGTTCTAAACTTCCGTTCACAGTTCCTCGTTAAAGATCATCTTCCTTTTTCGTATTCTTTGCATGCGTGTTGAAAAGATGGATTTATATTAAAAAAGAAGTATATGTTTAATTCAACAAGGGCTTTTTGATTGTTGATGCAACGTGTTTGTTGAATTGTCTGAACTGAAGACCAAAAGAATGATTGTAATATCAAATTTGAGGGGCATGGTGTGTCGAATCCTTTACAAAATTTTGACTTTTACAGTTACTTGTAACTTTTGTCTTTCTTCTGGGATAGTGTAGAGGATTCATAAATTTCACACGTTTATTGAAATTCATTTTTGAATACGAGTCTTCAACTAATCTTCAACCCATAAGACTTTATGGATACAAGCGTTAGGTTCAATGGTCAAAGTGGACAATACCTTGTGACTAGCATGAACTGAAACGGTCATAGTATTCTTCTTTTTTCTCGTTGATGCCTATGATACAAGCATCTCTGAATAGATTAATCAAGGTTTTATGCAAATTCTAAGTCCATAAAAAGGAACCAATGATGCTTGACATTGACACATTTCAATTGATCCTTGCAGGATATGGGAGACTTTTCTGGTTATTTTAGTCATCTATACTGCTTGGGTTTCGCCATTTGAGTTTGGTTTCCTTGAAAAACCTGCTACACCGCTTTCAGCCACTGATAATGTTGTTAATGGATTCTTTGCCCTGGATATTATTCTCACCTTCTTCGTTGCATATCTCGATAAAAAAACCTATCTCCTCATCGATGATCACAAGAAGATTGCTTGGAAGTATGCCCGTTCATGGCTGGCTTTTGACGTAATATCGACGATACCATTGGAACTTGCTCAGAAAATCTCCCCTAAACCATTGCGCTCATATGGCTTATTCAACATGCTTCGCCTTTGGCGTCTGCGCCGAGTTAGTGCATTGTTTTCCAGGTACAAGACTTGTTTTACCTTCATCAGATTACTTTTTTAGCTTGGATATTGGTCGAAATCTTTAGGGTGACACCTATGGTATTCGGATCATGGTGCAAGTGTCGAATATATCTCGATATAGTATGACTTATTGTTTATTTCAACAGAATGGAGAAGGACAAGAACTACAACTACTTTTGGGTTCGATGTGCAAAACTTATTTGTGTGAGTACAACAGAACATAAAGGGATATGTACCTGTAGTTTTTTCTGTTTCTAGGCATGCAGCGTTCATTCATTAAACTCCGGGTGCTTTTGTAGGTTACACTTTTTGCAGTTCATTGTGCTGGATGTTTCTATTATCTTATAGCTGAACGATATCCTGATCCGGCGAGAACATGGATCGGAAATTCTCTCGGAGAGGATTTCCTCGAGCAGAGCTTGTGGATTCGATATGTGACATCGATGTACTGGTCTATCACTACACTGACCACTGTTGGCTATGGTGATTTGCATCCTGTGAATACTAGGGAGATGGTGTTTGACATTTTCTACATGCTTTTCAACCTGGGGTTGACAGCATATTTGATCGGAAACATGACGAACTTGGTTGTCCACGGAACAAGCCGAACTAGACGATTCGTGAGTCGATATCTTATTGCTTTCTGCTTTCTGTTCGCTCTGATTTCCTATTAAATCTTCAATCAACTCTCCTTTGTTTATGTTTTTGATTCCTAGAGGGATACCATTCAAGCAGCTTCAAGTTTTGCTCAGAGAAACCAGTTGCCTCCTCGCCTACAAGATCAGATGCTTGCACATTTATGTTTGAAGTTCAGGACGGATTCAGAGGGGTTGCAGCAGCAAGAGACTATCGATTCGCTTCCTAAAGCCATTCGATCGAGCATTTCGCATTATCTTTTCTACTCTCTTATGGACAAGGTTTACTTATTTCGCGGTGTTTCCAACGACTTGCTTTTTCAGCTGGTAATCAACTCGAAAACTTGCTAAGCTTTTGTACCGAAATCAACTCCAAACATGCTAAAGTTGCATCTTTGTAACTATATGTTTAAGGTATCAGAGATGAAAGCTGAATATTTTCCTCCTAAAGAAGATGTCATCCTGCAGAACGAAGCGCCAACAGATTTCTACATCCTTGTTACTGGTGCCGTGGTAAAACATTAATTCTTGTTAAAGTTTCTGCGATTCTGATTTGTTCAATTGGATGATTCATTTCGAATTTTAAGGTTACTTCAAACTTTTCCCTCAAAATGGTCCCTAATGTTTTATATTGCTCCTCAGGATCTATTGATTCTCAAAAATGGCGTTGAGCAGGCAAGTTCTATCACTCGAATACTAGCCTTATTGATCAAAAACCAAGGACGGTTGCTAAGTGAAGCCATTTCTGGACTGGTTTTCAGGTTGTTGGAGAGGCAAAATCAGGTGATCTCTGTGGTGAGATCGGAGTCCTTTGTTATAGGCCACAGCTATTTACAGTACGTACAAAACGATTGTGCCAACTACTTCGGCTAAACCGGACTACATTCCTTAATATCATTCAGGCCAATGTCGGAGATGGGACCATAATCATGAATAATCTCCTTCAGGTACTCATGCCTGCAATTAACTATATAAACATGCTTACAAATATAATCCCTCAAAATCCTTTTAACCTTGTTGTTATCCCACTATCTACACATTAATATGATGAAATAAGCAGAAGAAATAAACTGAATTTCATATTTCGTAACCTTATATATATTTAGCCTTGGAATTCTTTGTTTGGGGCAGCATTTGAAAGGCAAGAATGACCCGATTATGGAAGGCATTTTAATCGAGACCGAGAACATGCTAGCTCGAGGGAGAATGGATTTACCTCTCAACCTTTGCTTCGCCGCACTCAGGGGAGACGACTTGTTGTTGCATCAGCTATTGAAAAGGGGGCTTGATCCTAATGAAGCAGACAACAATGGAAGAACAGCTTTGGTTAGTGAAAATCTTTTAGCCTTTTTATTTGGCCAAGATCCCAAAGATTATTAATTTGTTTTTATAGATGTTCATATATATATATATATATATATATATGTATGCATAATGATTTTAGACTTGTTTTTGTACAAAATTAGCATATAGCTGCATCAAAAGGAAGTGAGAACTGCATTCTTCTCTTACTGGATTATGGTGCAGATCCAAACTGTAAAGGTATTCTCATGTCCGTTCTGTTTATAACAGTCGATCTTTCTTAGTATATATGTTATCGTATATTCAAGTAGGGGAATTGATTGTAGAAACATAATTTACAATTCAATTGATTTGTTTAATTCTATGTTATGCAGATTCAGAAGGAAACGTACCGCTATGGGAGGCAATGCTTGCCGGCCACGATAACGTAGCTAAATTGCTAAAGGAAAATGGAGCAAGGATCACCAGTGGAGATGTAGGTCACTATGCCTGCATCGCCGCCGAACAGAACAACTTAAACTTGCTCAAGGAAATCGTTTGTTACCGTGGGGATGTCACACGTCCGAGGCACAACGGATACACAGCTCTTCATGTTGCAGTTTGCGAAGGAAACATCGAAATAGTCAAGTACCTTATGGATGAAGGTGCTGACATTGACAAACCAGATTTCTATGGTTGGACACCAAGGGATCTAGCCGAGCAACAAGGACACGAAGAAATAAAGACGTTGTTCGAATCAAGAAAAGATACGAAAGCTCAATCTATCTTGTCGATTCCGGAGAAGGCCGAGACACGGTACCTCGGGAGGTTTACAAGTGAGCCGGTTATCTGTCCTGTAGCACCGGATGCGACAGATGGATCGTGGAGCCAATCCCGGCGGAGGCGGAGGACAAGTAATTTCCACAACTCACTATTTGGGATAATGTCAGCTTCAAACAATGTGGAGAAAGATTTACTACTCTCAGTTCATCGACCAAAGGGTGTCAAGGATGATCCTATTGTCAACTCCTCTAGAGTGGTAATAAGTTGCCCAGAAAAGGGACAAACCACCGGGAAACTTGTACTACTTGCGGGCAACATGGAGGAATTACTCGAGATTGGTGCTAAAAAATTTGGGATATTTGGAGGTAAAGTGGTGAGCAAAGAAGGAGCTGAAATTGATGATATTGAAGTGATTAGAGATGGTGACCACCTTGTCTTTGTTAGTGATGGTCAAATTCTAACATCAACAACAGACTGACAGTCCAAAACCCCAATGCAATGGGTTTCCTTAGAGCACAAGTTAACATATATTTCTAAATTCTTACCTTCCCCCCCCCCAACCCCTTTCTTTTACTCTTTTTTTAACTGTTCTTACAATATAAAATCCAGGAAAATTTAGCTGAGTCAATCCTTGCCACGTGCATTTAATAAAGCTTGTAAAGGTGTAATATTCATTTGCTAGTTATCTTTCGTTTTAGTATAAACAATTGTAAATTCTTCATTCACCCTTTTATTAATAATTTTTGAATAGTTATTTCAGTTTGTTGGTGAACTAATGATTTTGAAGTCATATATACATCTTAAAAGCTTAACCGGCCAAAATAAACGGTGAAGTTTTTTTATTTATTTGTAATCAAGTGCTTCATGATACATCTAAAAAAATCGAGCCTTGCTTATATAAACCACATCCCTGTTTTATCCATGGTCATAATTCTATCTCTGTTTTCAAGGAAAATAAGTTTGACATAGTATTGCAATTGAATCAATCTGGGGATGATAATTAAAAACATACGACATAAGAACCATTTATCTGCACATGGGTTTCCATAGGAAAGGTATACTGGGTATAATAATATAAGGGTAGCTGATTTGGTGATAAAACAAACATCAAGGGAAAACGATACATGTATATCACTGCACAGATTACTAAGCACCCCCCACTCTATTTGACAAAATGGCCAAGATGCCGACCAAATTTAATCTTTTGTATTCTGAATATAATTTGAAAGACTCAACTCAGATACCTCTTGGGGCTTTTCTCACCACCTATTCATCCTTCACGCTACAAAAGCTTCATCATTTTCAGGCGTTCTTCGTGTTCTGGATCAAGTTTTGGCGGGGTATAGGAGCCATGAAGGTCCTCCACAATGTACTCCTGCAAAAGACCAACGTCGATGCAATATTTAATCTGTAATTATAGGAGAAAAGATATAATTATAAAGCTAACTCTCGCGATGTGTACCTTAGTAAGCTCCCTCTTAGTAAGAATGTGATAGTGTTTCTGCCAGATCCGTTGAACTGCCATGGTAGCAGCAAGGAAACCGTATGCTATCCCTAGAATGGCAAAGATTACAACGAAAACCACCACCAGTGCAAAGCATGCTTCCATAGATGCAGGAAAGCAATCCAATATACCCCACCCATAACAGCAATTCTGGCATCCAGCCATTCTTGGGTCATTGCTATTGAGGGAGGAGCAATGCAATATGAGACCAAAAAATCCGAGCAATACAAAGAAGGCAAGCACCCCTAAGAAGCAAGGAAAAGATGGTGAATTTATCTTCTTACTAAAACGGAAATTGGCATATGCAACGAACTAGCTCACTAAACATTATCAATGCACAAAGCAATGTTTAGATTAGGTAAGGTACCTGCAATATACAACAGAAATTGACAAGCAGAAAATCTGGGATGCTTACCTATGCAATAATAAAATGGTATGGGATGGTTTGACAGTATGCGATCCCAACCATCATTGAATGATTTCCGGAAAGCCCCATCTTTATCCATGACATATGCAAAGCCTCCCATCGCAGCAATCACCTGAAGAATATAGAAATCCATCATAAGACCATTTCAAGGCAATTGATAACGAACCAATCGGATAAGTTTGTTCTCGATCTTTCCAAGCTATGCATGACTAAAAACTCGAATAAGAAAGATACTCATATCAGCCTCCTCCACTCCTCCAGATCCCTCACTTGAATAGTTTTCCCCCTTATCTTTTCAGTAAATAGGAAGGCAAAAATGTATGGAACTTGTAGGGGGGCTAGGTATTTTGATGAAGTTCCCTTATACTATGTGTCAGCGGAAAGAAGTCTGACAATTACAATTAATTTATAGGGACACTGGACTCCGAATTAACAATGTCTAGAAAGAAGCTCAATACTTTTTGCATTTCTTTTAGATGTCATGGAAATGCAACAGCCACACCACTTTAACAAATTTAGAATACCAAAGAAAAGATAACAATGCTACCCAAAATCAATTTAGAGAATGTCTGTAATAAATAATTCTCAATATAATGCCAAATGAAAGTTTCAAAATAAACTTCTTTGGTTACACAAAAGTGCATGCCTCCATTGGCCATGTTGCATTTGCATCTAGCAAGTTACCTAAGGGATCAGGCAACAAATCCAAAAAAAAAAGTGTGGAATTGTTTCAAAGCATCCAAACACTAGCGCTAAAATCAGGCTTCACGAATCCATACATAAAAAAATACATAAATTCCAGGAATAAATGGTTGCAGGGGTTTCTACAAGTGGATGTCACCTTAATCCAAGTAATCACCATATACAAAGATCAAAATTGGAAATAGTGACAGAAGATGAGAAGAATAAGAGGTTGAAAATTAATATGTATGTAATAACTAATAACGATATTAGCGAGATGAATGTAAAGGGACTAAGAAGACTTACAGTTTGTACAGCCAAGAACACAAGAAAGACATCTCTTGCCACGAAAAGTCTGAACTTTATTTTATGCCAAGAGTTGTCCTTGTACAATTCAACTCGAAGGTGAAACTGAGCCCTACAAGTAGTGCAATGGGAGAAAGCAAATCCTTCCTATCAAAAAAAAGAGAAGGAAACTCACATAAAACCAATTACTAACACATAAATTTCAAAAGAAAATCAAGAATTGAGCCTTCACGTTCAGGTAGAGAAATCAGCTTAATTTACCTTCACCGAACGCCAATGATCAAGGCAAGCACGATGAACAAACTGTTGGGTGCCTTTGCACATACATGGAGATATTAGTTCATCATCTACAAAACAAAACAACCATTAGTTCAAGGTCTGAATATACATAACAATCGTGTATAATCAATAGTATGCCAAAATTCAATCTGAAACAGGTTCCAAAATATCAATGTCCGAATCAGTTTTCCACCCCGAATCCACCTTTTTTAATATAATTACATTCAAAATTCAAACGTAAACTAAAAATAGTTAAGACCAATAATTAAAAACAAAAAGGAAAAATCAAATAAGATAATAAATCCTTGCCTTCTTCACCATCGCACTCGAGGCAAATGCGGCAACAAGGAGAAGAACCATTCTCAATATCTTCACTCCCGATCTCACTCGAACTCGCTGGCAACGACGGATCGATCTCGTTTCGTAAAAGAGGAGCAGATTCACTAGGGTTTCGAGCACATGCTGGCTCCAACTGCAATTCACCCGCCATAGATCGAAAAAAGAAGAAGAAAAAAACCTAGCCAAATATCAATTACCAGAATTCAGCAATCACGAATCGATCATAAAAATTCAATGCTTTAATTCTAAAAACAAAACAAACAATAACAGCTTTGAATCAACATATAATATAAAATTTCGCGGAATAAAGTTCAGGTTCTTGCCTTGAGGAAACTAAAAGGGTCGAAAAATGGCAGATAATTGAAGGAGGAGAATTGTAAGTAGCTGAGATTTTCTTTTTCCTTGGGAATTTATGGATTTAACATTCTTTTGGTCATATATGAATTTAGCATTTCTATCTTATTTTATGGCGAATCAGATAAATGGACCAAATCGGTTCCAACCAAAACTGGGGAAACTCTTTAGGGTAAACTGCAAAGAATATCACTGAACTTTAGGCTGTATATCATTTGTACCATTAAATTTTAAATTATTTCAATTTTAGTACTAATTGTTGGTATAAATTGAAGCATTTGATCGTTAAATCGTTAGCACGAGCCAACTTACCTTAGTAGTTAAAGGAATTGTTTTTATTCCTAGAGGTCATGGGTTTGAGCTAACAAAAACCGCAAGGGTAATTAAATGTTCATTATCAAATAGTTGAGAGTATATAGAATGAATATTATTTTGTAATCACTTTAGCTTAATAAAAAAATTATATTTAATATTATTTATATCAATATTATTATTAAAATATTATTTCTATTATTTTATAAATAAAAATAGTATATTTTACTAAAATAAGAATATAATATCATAATATAATTAAATATATAATTATAATATTAAAAATATGATATTATACTACCATAATTATTAACAAATATATTTTAACAATTAATATTTTTATAAAAATGCCACTAAAATAATATTTTGATATTAAATACAGAAAATAACATTGTTTTGAGTATTTATATTTTAAAATAAAAAATGAATTACATTGATATTTGTTTTACGTCAACAAAACACTGAAAAGTAAGAGAAACATTTTCTGAAAAATCAATTACAGTGAAATAAACAACCCTTAAGGTTGTTGTCAAAATATTTTCATTTCACTCACTTTTCTTCTACTCATCTTGGTTTTCTACAAAACTCACTTAAAATTAACGTAAATCTATCGAAAAGTTTGACATTCTACTATTTTGATCTTCATTAACGATCATCCGATGAGGCCAACTTGAAGGTAAATTGTTCATCTTATCAAAAGAATATTTCTTATTATTTGAATTTCTGAACAAGCATCACAATATCTTCCCGTTTAAGAAAGTCTTCAGACTTTAAAAATAATAAAATTATATTTGTTTAAGTTTGAAAACTTTAAAGAATTTTTTAAAATTTTAAATTGATTATATTACTTTATCAGATTTTTATAGACGGTGTCAATATTATTTTTAAAATGGTGTTAAATTTATTTTTAATATATTTTAGTACAAAATTAATATAAAAGAAATGGCACCCCAAGTAACCGAGGTGGCTTAACCCATGGTCAAAGACAGAAATAATGATTTCCAACGACAGTTAAAAGAAGGTAAAAAACAAAATTTTAATAAAAGAAATAAAGAGATAAAATAAAAATTAATTTTTTGTTTTTACATAATCACTAAACCACTACGTCATCTTACTTTTAATGGTTTAGCAGCTAAATACTTTAACTGAATCAAAAATTAAGTTTAGTGATAAAAGTGAATTAATTTAAACGTAAAGAAAAAATAAAAAAAAAGGTTAAAATTCAATGTCGTTTGTGATAGTTTACCCAAAATTTTGAGTCTAATTAAGAGGGAAATATTATTTTAAATTTCATTTTAAGTATATATATTCAAATACCATATAACATGGTATGCCCATTACACAAAATTATCCACGTTCGAGCTACT